AATTCAATTTCCCAAAAAATGATTCTTTATTTTGAATCATATGCTTTTAATATTACATGCTTCGGAATAACATACTTTTGTGGTGATAGTTTTTTTTTTTTCTATAAACCTTTCAAGTATTTTTCTATATAACTACCATGTTAACATTAAAAAAAAAAAGTTTAAAATTATCTAAATTTAAATTATTAGATGTGGCTAGTTTTAAATTGAGAATATGATATTTTTTTTAAAAAAAAAATTAAAATATTATGAATCACTCAAATTTAAAATATTACAATATTAACTAATATTGTATAAAATAAAAAAACCACTTAAAAGCAATATATCTCTTTAGTCTCTTCCAATATACTAATATATTTAAAATGATAAAAAACAAAAGAGCTAATGCGTTACTTTTTTGGAGGGATTTAATTGTGATTTTGGAGTGATTATGTATTTCTTTTCTTTTTAAAATTTTTTTTAATATTTTTAATATTTTTTGGTAAATCCAAAAAAGAAAAAACCAAAAATATTATAAAAACATATAAGAAATGAAAATTCAATTTACCAAAAAAATGATTCTTTACTTGGAATCATATGTTTTTAATATTACATGCGTTGGAATAACATATTTTTGTTGTGATAATCTTTTTTTGTTTCCATTTTTTTTCTATAAGCATTTAAAGAATTTTTCTATATAACTTCCATTTAATTTATGATGCAAACATTCAAGAACTACAAGTTGAAGATAAATTTATTTAGCAAAAAAAGCTTGTGATTAGAATGAAGGATAAAGTATATTAGGACATTGGAAGAGACTAACGATGTATATTGTGTTTAATTTTTTTATTTTATATTATAAAATATTATAACATATTAAATTTGAGTGATTCATTAATATTTGAAAAATAAAACAAGAAATATCATATTCTCAATTTAAAAATAGCCAAATCTAATAATTTTAATTTAAATAATTATACAATACTGAAAAATTAAAACATTTGAATTAATTTTTTTATTTTAATTTATATAATTAAACAATACTTAAAAATTTTAAAAATATATTTTTTAAATTATTTATTTATAATATTAAGCAATATTTAAATAAAATTAAAATTTAATATGAAAAATTATTCTAAAAAAAACACAATTATAAACATAACGATAATATAAGGGAAGTTAAAGTTGTAATTTTTTAGGATATTTTATTTGTGGTTTATTGTGCATCACAATCCATTCATTTTTTGGTAACTCTTAAAGGGTAAAGTTAGAGACTCCAATAAGTCTAAGTTTTAAAGGGTGAAGTCAGAGAATTCTATTGGGTAAGTCTTAAAAGGGTAAAGTCAGAGACTTCTTACTTATTGGGTAAGTCCTAAAGGGTAAAGTCATAGGCTTCTCGAATTTGCATGAACTAGTGCACCGATCGTAAAGTGGGATGCTCTGCTCCCTCATCGTTGTAATTTTTGAAGATATTTTTTTTATTGATGGCTTAATATATTCTTATTTTTGAAAAAATTATATATATGTTTAATTTCTTCGGATTTACGTGAACTGGGGCACTTATCACAAAGTGGGTTGCTTCTTTGCTCGTGGTAAATTTTCAGGATATTTTTTTTATTGATGGTTTAATATGGGTAAATCTTTGATCGTAGTAAATCTTGAGGATATATTTTTTTTTTATTGATGGCTTAATATGGGTAAATTTTAGAGGAATGTATTTCTCATTTTTTAAAAAATTATATATATGTTTCTTGTAATTTTAAGGTCCAAATTTTTGTCCCATTAAAAGAGGGTTTTGATGGAACTGTATCTTATAAAGATGAGCATTTGATTGATTTATAACCGTTCTCAGGTAGAGTAATATTCTTTTTAAAAAATCTCAAAGGTATTTCGCCATTAGAATTCTATTAAAAAATTCAAGTAACCCATCTTCCCCATTGGAACTCCATTCAAATATTCAAGCAAACAATCTTCACCAATGGAATTCCATGAAAAAATTCAAGCAAACAATCTTCGCCATTGGAATTCTATTAAAAAATTCAGCCATCGGAATATATGCACTTATCGAAAACCTTTTCATGGGAGAATATAGAAATGATTTTTTCCAATATTTTTTTGTGGGAAAATATAAAAATGATTTTTTCCAATGTTATGAAATTTTTTGTAAGCAATGTTTGGCATGAGATATAAACTTACAAAACTATTCCCAATTAGAGTTTGGTTTTCATAAACTTATATACCATTACCGATTACAATTTGCTTTTCATAAACTTATAAACTATTCCCAATTACACTTTGCTTTTCATAAACTTATAAATTATTCCCAATTATAGTTTGCTTTTTGAAACTAAAATTTATTTTCAAAAATATAATTTGCATATTTATTTTCATGATAATCCCAGGTTAAATACTGCATAAATATAAACTATAAAATTGGATTGGATGAATAAAGCATCACACAATTCCCAGACGCCACCAAGAACCATAACCGTGATGAATACATAAAAGCATAACACATATAGAGATGGAAAGGGATAAAGGGTTGCTTTTATTACTTCACTTTATCTATTGAACGATATGGTATGTATGTAGGGATTTCGATAACCCCTTAACTTGCGGCACCGGAAATCCCAAATATCGAGATCCCACCAGTACATGATTGATTAAATGCAAAATGAATACAATTATAAATCGAGTGCGATAAATAAAGCAAATATAAAAAACACACCACAACAACACACGATTTACGTGTTCACTCCGTAGGGCTACATCCATGACCTCGACAATTAGAAATCTACTATTACAATGAAGATTACAGTTTTGGGTTACAAGAGATAATACCTATCCGCTTTGTCCACTGAGAGATACCGTCCATCAACATCATCTTTCCCACTGCAATACCATGACCAAAAAGGTAACCTCGAGAGCAACATAGAGAGATGAGACATGTATCATGGAGACCTATCTCCATATTGGAAATACATTCCCATAACCCTAAAGAAGTGACCATACATTCCCATAACCCTAAAGAAGAGACCATACATTCCCATAACCCTAAAGGAGTGACGCTCAAAGGATAAGTATTATATCATCTTTGACTCTCTAATAAAGATATCACTTATTGCTTCTTAAGAAATTTAATTTTTTATTTCCCATAATACCTTAATCTTTATAAAAAAATATGGGTATGATGATTTAACTATCACTAAACCCAACAAGATAGACTTTCAGTCCTCTTCAAAAGATACGAACTTTTCAGTCAGACTGAACAATATGGTCTTGTTAAGCTTTAAGTGAAAGAGAACGATATGGTATTGTTAGACTTTCAATAAATAACGTCTTATTAGGCTTTCAATATGGTCTTGTTAGATGTTCAATAAAGTAATGTGAATATGATGATAGAATAGAGTACGAGGAAATAGATAAAATAATGTGAATATGATGAGAGTAGAGAATGAGGGAAGAGAAAATAGTAGAGAGAGAGAATTAGCGACAGGAGAGAGAATGACAATGAAATAATGTGAATATGATGGGTAAGCTTTCGATGAAATAATGTGAATAGGTTGATAGAGTAGAGAATGAGGAAAGAGATGAAAAAATGTGAATATGATGAGAGTAGAGAATGAGGAAAGAGAAAATAGTAGAGTAGAGCGAATTAGCGAAACCAGAGAGAACGAGGAAGGAGGAAATCGTTATATAATAGAAGAACGACTCGGTAGTTATGGCAAATTTGATAGGAGATTAGAATTTTTCACGTAACACACTTTTTCATTTTTTTTTGCCGTTCAAATTTTAAAAAGTCATACCGTTTAACTATCTTTATCATGTACCTCTCGATAGCATAATATATCTCAACGGTCATAGTAATTACCTTCATTTTATCTCTATATCATAATATCTCTCAACCGTCATGGTAGTTACCTTCATTGTATCGCTATATCATAATATCTCTGATAGTAGTTACCCTCAATTGTGATAATAGTTACCCTTCGTTTTGTTAGAGATTCAACATTTTTTTTTTTGTCAATTTGAATTAACAAAAACACACACCTTTTCATTATCTCTCATTTATCTTTTTATATAATAATATCTCACGCATCTGTATATCATAAATGGTCATAGTAGTTATCCTTTCTCTCACGTACCTGTATATCGTACTATCTCAGTTATCCCTTCGTTTTTAGTAAAGAGATTCAACGGTTAGTTATTTCTATTGTATATTATTTTTTTTTTTCTCTCATAGTAGTTATCTCGAGTTTTTTTTTTTTTTTGGCCGTTGTGAATTTAAAAACTCACATATTTTAGTTCTCTCATATATCTCTATATATCATAATATTTGTTCACTCATTTTTAATATCTCTCATATATCTCTTTATATCATATCTCTCAACGTTCCTAACAATTATTTTTTCATTTTTTGTGAAGTCATGTCATAATAGTTATTCTATTTATTTATTTATTTTTCTTTTTTTCGTCGATGCTATAACTTTCGCTATGTAGTAATAGATAGTGATATGTTTCTATATTTCCCCTACAACATAAAAGATCTATGCTTTCTCTACCATTCAATCGTCCAATTTTGATCAAAAGAGCTTCTCACCATTTGATCTTAGATCCGACGTCTCAAAGTATTTTATTTTTAATTTTTTTATAAAATTTGTAAGAATATGGAATTCGATATGTGACATCCTTTTATTGGTGCACCTATAAAAAATATTAAAAATAATTTTTTGATAAAATATAATAACCAAAATACCTCTTGAAATTTTCAAGGTATATTTGTCATTTTATTTTATTGGACATATTTGTTTTATATTTTTGGCTAAAGCCATGGGATTGGACATCCAAATTTTAGTGTCAAAATAATTTATAAAAAAAAGTTAAAAATAAAATAGTGGAGAGGTGTGACATTGTGATTGGGGCAATCTTAACCCTCCATTCAAAATGGGCGGTTACGTTTAGATAAGGAGTATGTAAGTTTTTAGATACGTCCCTCTTAATCTATTATCGAAGACCGCGAGGGCTTGTTGTCGTATTGCACGGTTCCCCTTCTTTTCAAACTTCTCACCATTTTACAGTCAGTAAACCTCCCGCTGCAACCCTGCGCATTCTCTGCTAAGGAAGAACGAGAGAAAGAGAGAGAGAGAGATCTTTTGGGAGAGAGGATGGCTGGGTACACGAGCATGGGAGACGCTCAAAGAAGGCTCTCAGACTTTCTCTCTTACTTCGCCGACGCCGTGTCCTCTCAGGACGGCCCCTCTCTCGCTCCACTCTTCTCTCTCTCCTCCAACTCCCCCTACTTCCTCTCTCTTGCTGATGCACTCGACGTTCTCCAGGTTCAAATCTCTCTCTCTCTCTACATTTTGAACGTCGATTTTTTCCGATCTCTCTACAATCTACATTTATACTAGTAATATGTGAGGAATTCAGGGCAATGAACATACTTTTATTACTTGGTTTGGATTGTCTTGCTAAATCATGCCCGTGCTGATTTTGCATATCTTTGAAGAGATTATGGGAGGGCTTTAGCCATGAGATTAGGATAGATTGTATTTAGAGAGTTTTAGAACTATCAGATGTGTTGGAATCTACAGTATATAGGTCCTTGTAAAATCCATATCAACCCTAAGTCTAGCTTTCTTATGTCCTTTGTGCTGCAACTTTATTCCATGACTCTAAGATTATTTATTTTTGAATGAGTGATGCATTCTATGGTAGTTCTCGCTGGAGCGAGCTTATTTTTCAGTCTATAATCTGTCCTTCTTTTTATTAAAAAATTGAATAATTGATACGTTCTACGTCAATTCGTGCTGAACAGAGCTCATTGTTCTCCTGTCTATGATCCACTTTTTTAAAAAATTTCATTTAATTTGGTTTGTTCATTCTTAGTACAGAGAAAAAAAATCATTCAGAAATCTTCCAATGAGCTAATTGCTTTGTTTTGTCCTTTTTTTTTCCTTTATTGGATTAACTCTTGAAAAATCGGCTGTCATATTTACACTAGTAACTTTGGAACCACAACCCATTCTTGATTTGTTTTTTGATCGGTTTGTTCTTGAATCCCTGATAGCCCTCACTTAGATCTAGCCTCATGGATCTAGTGAAACTTTCCTTTTAGCCCACTCCTTGATATGACTTCCTTTCTTTTCTCTCCCTTTTAAACTCCATGTATACTAGCCCCAATTTATTGTTGGCATGCTATGAGGGATGCTTTATGGATTTGCGTACTGAAAATGAAATGACTTTCGGATGGTTTTTCCATCTTGAGAACCACTTGAAATGTAATAGTATTGTTTCCATCTCTGTGTGCACGTATGCATTCTGTCACCAAATCATCCCCCTGCCTCAAACAACCTCTAATACCTCAAGCCTAGCAAACTCACACCAAAACATCACCACTATAGGCCTTTAATCTCCCCAACAACTCCCACTCCCACCCATCCAATATCTCCCCCCCCCCCCCCTCTCTATAATAAATATATTTAACTCTTCAAACCCTCAACCAAGTCCCTGGTTGCCAAATTGCAGCCCATTTCATCCCTCTTCAACCGCGGGGGCCCCAACCCACAAAACAGCCCCCTACCCCACAATCTCACACCCTCTCTCCCCTTGCCTTCCTTTCCTATTCCTCTCGCTTAAAGTCACATCCTTGTCCAATTCCAACCCATCTTAGCCACCCTGCCATGGTTCAACCTCTTCAAGGTCCTTGATTGGGACCTTATATCCCTAGCCTAACTGTTAGGTTACCTGCTCCTCCAACCACACACTCATCCATGGTAGCCTCTTCGAAAAGAAGTTAGAAGTTTTGCATAATTCTATTGTTGCTAAATGCTCCCCACAAAGACACAATTCAAAGGGCATCCCAAAATGGGCCTCCTCAATCTAGAAATTGAAGCTCACATTGTGTTACCCACCCCACAATGCCTGACATTTTCTTTTTTTTCCCTTCTAATGAGTTTTGTGAGGCTGTGGCCCTATCCAAAGGACTAGTTTGCAGAAAAGGAAACTAAGTCTCTCTCCTTGGAATTTGGCTTCATTGCTACCCGCCCCGATTGTTGTTGGATTTGTGTCCATGTGATCCCTGTCCATGCTTGCTAATGTGCTGTTTACAGAGCGATTGGAAATCTTTGGGGTGGTTTCCTTAAGCTTTGTCCCAACAGGCATCTCCCCTCTTGGGCTTGTTTTGATTCTCGTTTTGTCCCTTTCCTTGGAGGTCATCCCCAGATCTCTAGTCCTGACCTTTGGGACCCATTCTAATTCCATCTCCATCAACCTGTAGGCAGTGGATTTCCCCTGTTGGTCTGTTTCCATTGTGGAGCACCAATTGGACCACCTTTTACCTGTGCTCCATGAACAAATCCCTACTCTGTAGGATCACGATCCTGTGCCTTGGACCATAGAGCTCCTTAGGCATTGTGGTGACCATGGTAGTCCTAGGACACATGGCCATCCCACCGCTCCTAATGCTTGTCCTACGTTAAACTTGAGCCTTGAGTTGTTTCTTCTATCTCTTGACCCAATTTTCCAGAAAACGGCAGGCGGTGGGGGGTGGGGTGGGGGGGTCCTGGCTGCCCAACGCTTAGGCGGCCACCCAAGTGGAAGGAGGTGTTTGATCCAATTGTTTATTTTGTGCAAAACATACATAATGAGGCATAACACATCAAGAGTGCATAACAAATAGTCCATCCATAGTCTATACACTGCATACCATCAGTCCATACTCCATACATAGTAAGAAAAAGAAGAAGCATATTGAGGTCCAAAGTATTTATGATTTAGACAAGGAAAATATAATCCAACATCCTCATGTAATCTTCCTTCTCCTTAATATAATAACTTTCTCTCAAAAGAAAAAATAATATAATCCAACATTTAAATTTACTACTAGACACCACACAGTGCATAGTCCATACACTCCATACTCCATAGTCCATATACATAAGGAGGAAAAGAAAAAGAAAAGAAATATAGATTTGAAGACTCTAAGAGTCTTCAATCATCATTAGAAATAGTAGGGTCAGTTGCATTATATGCATTGGAGTCGAGCCCATCATCATTGGTGTCATCTCCCTCCTTAACATGACGCTTGTCCTTCTCTGTAACTTGTGCGCCCTTCCTCCTCTTCCTCTGCTCCCTTGTCCTTTGTGAAGGTGATCTAGTGGGCCTTAGGAGGGTCGACTGTAATACTTGAGGCCTTCATAACCACATCAGTCAATCCGTCATACCCCTTGACCTCGTCATCATCAACCAACCACGCCATGGCATTGTCCTTGTCTTTTGTTCTAAGGGGGTCGTCTTTCCTTCAAGATTCAATTCGTCTTTCCTTCAAGAATCAATTTAACTTTACATAAACTAAGTCATTGGAAGCTTTTTTTTCTTTTTAGGAGCCTACATGGAAAATTGAAAACACATATTGTAAATTGAAACTAATTAATATTACAATTTATATGGTAATGAGTAATTACTAATACCAAGTAGTAAAGTGTAGACTAATAATATAATTTAATTGTTTAAATTAAAGTTAATTAGCATAGTAAGTTAGTAACAAACATAACATCTCACAAGTAATCCAGTTCCGTTCACAGTCAGACAGGGTAGTGGTCAGGCTTAAGATCCGAATTGCCCTCTTTTGTAAGTTTGGAGCACTACACCCGTGCTCATTCCATTAATTGGCTGCAAATTGATTATAAATGTAAAAAACAAACAACAAACATGACACTGGAGCTTGAAGACGTGGTTAAGTATATTATTACCTGGATCAACTTTGGTCCTTTGTTTTATTGACATTGCACTTTCAAAAGACTTAATGCACACTTGTAATTTATTATTTCATCAACGCATATAATGTCTTGGATTTCCTGATTAGGGACTAGTACATCCAGACTTATTAAATCCAGTCATAATTGTATCATTTGTCTGTATACCCCTAACAACCAAAAAAAAAAAACTTTGGGTTAAAAAAATAACTAGCGTTATGCAATGGTCTGTGTAGCTGCTGGTCCCACTTCTCATCAATAATCGTCCAAATTGGCTCATAGTGGCACTAAAAGAATTATGGGCTATCTCTCTCTTGCAACTTTCTATTGCCTCATATATGAAGCCTTTAGAGGGCTCATCACCGTCAACCATTCAAAGGACTTTGGCAAGAGGAAAAAAATACCTGTAGAGTGGCCTTCACCACTCGACCAAAAGGCTTAGATAGGATAATATGTCTTACTTTCTTCCCTTTCTGATCCCTGGCCCACTTACATGCTCCTCAATCATCAAAAGTGAACATCTGCCTCAACTAGACTCTCCTCAAATGTATGCTATCTAGACATAGAAAGCAGGGAGCAAATCTTGTGATTCCCGACCTCACTATCTCCTTCTTCTTTGTAAACCTACGCATCATGCCGAGAGTGAGGGTGTGGCTATAGAAGATGGTTGTAACTAACTTGGCCTTCCTAACTATGCCTGCAATCTCGCTAGTATTGCCAATAGCCTCAAGCATGAGGTCGATGCAATGTGCTGCTCATGGTGTCCAAAAGATATGAGGTTTGCTCATGTGTAACAAATTAGAGGCAACAAAATTAGGAGCAGCGTTATCTGTGACAACCTGAATACTATGCTGCTCCCCAACCTCTTTGATGCCTTTCTCAAACACTTTAAATAAGTGAATGGCATCATGGCTATCATTGGAGGCATCAATAGACCTAAAAAAAAGTCCCTAAAGGATAATTCACCAACAAATTCATCTGACTTCTTCTATTCCTGTCACACCAAGTGTCAATGATAATAGACACCTCATATTGGTCTCATGTATCCTTCTGTGAGTCCACAATCTCCCTCGTGATCTGCACCTATTTTTCCAAAAGAGGCTCTGAAAGTTCATATAGGGTTGGGAGCTTCAACCCAGGTCCAAATTGGCCAATTGCCTCCACCAAGGTTTAGAAACTGCTATGGGTGAGCAGCATTGAAAGGAATACTTGCCTCATAAAACCACCGAGCAATGTACTTAACAATTCTCTCTCTCCTCCCTTATTTTCTTCTCAATGGTTGTTTGCTTCTTGATTTTCTCAACTGCAGCCTTGGGGTTAGGAAGGGTAAAAAAGGTATCCTTAGGCCCCTTAACCGGAGGTCTCTTAGGCCCCCTAGATCCAATTACATCTTCCTTTCCTTTCCTAGACTGAGACAAAGCAATCTACTCCACATCATCACCTCCCTCAATTTTTATTTTTTTGAGAAAGGTTAACTTTATATATATATATATATATATATATATATATAATAAAGATTTAGACAACAGCCATAAGACGACATCCCACAAATTGGGTGTTCAGTATACAACAGTCAAAAC